CCTCCGGTGTACGCCCGCTCACACGCTGCGGGCATCGGGCGTTTTTTTTTTTAAGCACAGTTTGAGCATGCGCATAGGCAGCCATTCAGAGAATTGCGATCTTTGCGCATGCTCAACCCCCCCCATTACATTTAAACTTTAAAGGTAACGACTTACCTTTAAAGTTTAAAGCCCAACCTGGCCTCCCTTAAGTCCCCGACTCCTCCGGGAAGTTAAACTAAGGGATTTTTTTTCTTTCTTAACAAACGCTCAGGGCGAAGCTTCACCAGAGCGCATATTGCTTACTTTTTAAAAAAAATGGTAGGGGAAAGCCGGAAGCCTCAGGCTTCCGACGAAAATGGCAAGGCACCGGTGGAGAGCGATCAGACGCCGGGGTAAACCGGAAGCCACCGTTGCACTCAGTATACCACCACTTGGGACCTAGTGGCAGAGTGCAACGGTGTAAAGGGCTTTACACCGGTTAGGGATGGGAGGCAGATGTTCATCGTGTGAACACCCGTAAGTACACCGGTTGGAACTGGCACCCTAACCGATGTAAAGCCCCTGTCTGAACGCACCCAGTGATGGACTGAGTCCACAGCATGAAAGGGCTGTGTGAACTTGCAACTGCATGTCAAATTCCTCTAGAAGAGATATCCTCGCTTCCCCTCCGCTCCAACTGGCGTGTGTGACCGCCACCTTAACTAGGACTTGACCCTTCTGTATGCCATGCTGATGCTCTACTGCTGAGCTAACTCCCCTCCCCAAACAGCATAGAATAGATTGTTGGGATGATAGGGATTGTCATAGTTCAAAAGTGTACTAGTCTTATATATCACTGGCCCCGTTCACACGGTGAATTTGCTGCGGGAGAGCCACAGATGCCAGGCGGATTATCCATGCACGATCACACCGCCACATCTGGCAAGTGTAGCGCACCCATGGCTCCCCACCGAAAACCTGCAGTTAAAAAGTACCTGCTAACAAGTACTAGCAACCAGTTTGCCACGGGCTGCTGACCGACTTGGTTGGTGTGATCGCGCCGGCATGCAGTTCTTCCCTCCGGCTGTCATCTTTGCTGCAGGCGCCGACTGCCGAAACCCCGCTGCACCGCCATCGCATCTGATCACTTAATCGCGGTTCAAACTGCGACGGCGCAGATAGCCATGCCTACCCCCCCCCCGCATTATCTGGCCTGTGTGACCGGGGCCAAAGTGTGAAAATATTTTATCATTCCTAATACATTAGTAAAATCCAACAGTAATATGAGGTTAAGAAATGTTTTGCCGGACAGTGCAATAAAACTAAAATGACATTGTTCAGCAAGATGCTATCTTCTCACTGTAGTATGAAATGATGGATTTAGACTCTCTTTTGCTTACAGGTTTCGCTTATCGCCTGAGTATCCACCTCCAATTCAGTCTCAGGACTGTTTGACGGCTGCAGTACACTTTTTGAAGTATGCAAAGGATTATGGAGTGGACCCTAACTGCATTGCCGTGGGTGGAGACAGCAGTGGAGCTACAGGCGCTGCAGCTCTTTGCCAACAACTGGTGGGCAGAGTAGATCTCCCAAGGATCCGAGCCCAGTTCTTGCTTTATCCATTCCTCCAGGCACTGGACTTTAATCTGCCATCTTATCAGCAAAACCATTCTGTCCCCATTTTGTTCAAGAAACGGGCTATCAGTCTGGGTTTCAAGTATTTCAAAATGAAGAACATTGATATAGCAAGACTCATGCAGAATGCCCATATCCCTGAAGATCTGAGGGTGAAATACAAGAAATGGGTCAGTGCCGATCACATTCCAGATGAGTTTAAGGTTAGAGGCTACGTGCCGGTGGAGCCTGCTCCCTTTTCCGAAGAGCTTTATGAACTGGCCAAACTGGCTTTAGAGACATGGTTTTCCCCACTTTTAGCTGAGGATGAGATTATACGCCAGCTCCCCGAGACTTTCCTTTTGACTTGTGAGTACGATGTTCTCAGGGACGATGGACTGTTGTACAAGAAACGGCTGGAGGACAATGGTGTTCCAGTCACTTGGCATCACCTTAAAGATGGTTTCCATGGAATAGCCTTTCCCATTGACTTTGGGCTACCCGAGTTCCAAAGCACACGAAGTGGTATGAAGACTGTAATACATTTTCTATGCGGATTATCGAAATAATCCTCTTTCCTCTGCAGCCATACAGCATTCCTTTGATGGCATAAACTATTTAGATGTCGCTATTTATTTTTTAAAAAGTGCTCTCTTGAACTGTTTTGAATAAAGCGAAACCAAACTTCTGAATACTTGGAAGACAGGATGAAATCTAGTGGCTGTCGATTGCATCTGTGATTTCCTCAAAGTAGTTATGGATCTTTTCCTGTTTCCTGTTTCGTTATATTTTTGTGGGATTCAGGGGCATCCCCCCCCTCAGAACTGGAGAGAGGAGGGGAGGAGAGGGGAGGAGAGGGGAGGGAGAGGGGAGGAGAGGAGAGGGGAGGAGAGGGGAGGGGAGGAGAGGGGAGGGGAGGAGGATGCAGCACCTGGTGGAAGCAGTGGCAGTGCAGTGGTGATGTCTCCTCCTCCTCCTCCTCAGCTGCCCCCCCTCTGGTGGTGGTGGTGGTTGTGGCGGCAGCTCCTCCTCCTCTCCAGCCTGGAGAGAGAGCCCACCTACCTCCTCACCGCCGTCCTTCTAAGCTCCTTCTGCAGGCACTACCCTAGGCTGTACTTGCTCAGTCCTTTCCTCTGAAGTCTGGCCAGAATAGCAGTCTCATGAGACCTTATGAGAACCTTAGCCAGGAGCTGTCTCAGTTTCTTTCCTCCTCCTGTTGCCCCGGCTGGGCTAAACTGTTGACAGTGTTGTTGGCAGTGATTGGAGTGGAGCCTTAAAAGGCCAAACAGTTGACTAGGGTCCAGTTTTCCCACTTAAAGCTTCAGTCTCCCACTTGAAGCTCCTGCCTTCCGACTTGGGGAGATGTCTATCCAGGCCTGTCCTGGAGAGCCCAGGGGTAGCCCGATCTCATCGGATCTCAGAAGCTAAGCAGGGTCAGCCCTGGCTAGTGTCTGGATGGGAGACCTCCAAGGAATACCAGCGTTGCTTTGCAGAGGCAGCCAGTGGCAGACCTCCTCTGAATGTCTCTTGCCTTGAAAACCCTACGGGGGTTGCCATAAGTCAGCTGTGAATTGATTCCCCCCCAAAAGTTATTTATTTATTTATTTATTTATTTATTGTTTTATTTGTATCCCGCCCTCCCTGCTGAGGCAGGCTCAGGGTGGCTTACAGGAGATATATATATATAACGCAGATGTTAATAGGCAATGGCGGCATCCCCTCAACATCCAGAAGGTCACTACCGTCATAATCCAAGTTCCTGCCAGGCTGTTTGTTATTAAATGGGTGCTGATGTTACTGATGTTGCTGAAGTTGGGGCCAGGGCTGCAGTATTGGAAGGCGGCACCCTAATCGAAAGCCTGGCGGAAGAGCTCCGTTTTACAGGCCCTGCGGGACTGCACAAGGTCCCGCAGGGCCCTGATGTCGTCCAGGAGCTCATTCCATCTGTTAGGGGCCACCACAGAAAAGGCCCTGGCCCTCGTCACAGCTAGCCTGGCTTCTTTAGGGCCTGGGAGGGCTAGACGGCTTTGGGGCCCTGATCTTGTTGCTCTCTGGGGAACATGTGGGGAAAGGCGGTCCCTTAGGTAAGTAGGTCCCTAACCATATAGGGCTTTGAAGGTAACAACCAAAACCTTGGACCCGGTATGCTATAGGCAGCCAGTGCAGTGCTTTTAGGGCCGGCGGGACGTGTTCCCCCATAGGAAGACACAACAACAGCCTTGCCGCTACATTCTGCACCAGCTGCAGCTTCCGGATTTGGGACAAGGGCAGCCCCATGTAGAGAGCATTACAATGATCCAGTCTCGAGGCGACCATTATATCTCACCTTTCTCTCCAGTGGGGACCCAAAGCAGCTTATCTCATTCTCCTCTCCTCCATTTTATCCTCACAACAACCCTGTGAGGTAGGTTAGGCTGAGAGGGTATGACTGGCCCAAGGTCCCCCAACAAGCTTCCATGGCAGAGTAGGGATTTGAACCTGTGTCTCCCAGATCCTAATCTCACACTATATCCACCACACCACCCCAACTCTCCAATGAAGCAGAAGGGGAGGGGAATGCTGCTGTACAGGCGATGCTTTAGAATAAAAACCATAGAAGATAATCTAGAGCAGGGGTGTCAAACATATGGCCCATGGGCCAGAACCGGCCTGTTCATTGCTTTTATCCAGCCTGCAAGCAATTGTGCTGTTTTCAGCCTGTGAAGGAAAAGAAGAAGAAGAAGAAGAAGAAGAAGAAGAAGAAGAAGAAGAGATTGGAATTATACCCCACCCTTCACTACCCAAAGGAGTCTCAGGCCCCTGCCACACGCAGGGGAAAAGGCGCTTGAAGGCGCGGCTTTAAAAAGCCGCGCCAATGTTGACACGGCGCGGCGGGATCCCAC